CTTTGCTGGCCAAATCCTCTCAGCAATAAATTTGCTACCTGAGTGCAACTACTTTCCAGAGACACGACATGATGACCTTCAAGCGCATAGAATTAAGCGTCGGCACTCACTCTCGTCTTTCTTCACCCGAGCTATTGGGACCTGTGGGGTTTGATTGCGTAGAGAACCTACTACTCTACTACGGTTACCAAGTGGGCATGCCAGTTTCGTTAAAGAGGACAGGGGAAGAGACGTTAAGATGTACAATCTCCGAGGGAGCTTATGGAGTGCTGGAGCAGCGAGGATCTGTGTATTATAATACATTTCCACATAAAACTAATATCCAACCTATCTAGCTAGCTACCTTAGTATGGTGTTTCGACAGATTCAAGATCCCTCTCGATAAACGGCTCATTCGGTGAGCGTCAAATCGATCGTCTCTTATGCAGCGGTTGCCCATCACCAAAGCAATACTAGAGCGCAGGTGAGCTTGACGCTCCAGCTTCCTTGACTTTTTGAAGCCAACGGTGCAGGTAGAAAGTCCCTTTTCCTGTCCATGTGAGCAATTTTCGAAACACTCCCATGATAGATGAGCCAAGACCAAACTCGTGAAAGCATCGAGGTCATAGCTAAGGCTTGTAATACCTCGAAATTGTTGGATGATCGATCATGGAGAATCTGGCATGAGGTAAACCTCTACATAACTTTATTTTGATGCTATTAGCTTTCTAAGCTAGTATCCTACCAAAAAAGGTTACTGGGCATCGTGATCCAAAAAATACTCGTGGATGGTATCGTATTTTCTTCCCTGTACGCCCTGAGTTCTTTGCTTTTGCCAAAGATTTTTTGGCTAACATAAACAACAGAGAACACTATGCTCATGAAACTGTCTTCCCGCAAGGTTCTCACTTATCAGGCAAAATCAATATTTATGGTGTCCCGACGATGAAATTTGTACAGCAGTTGTTCGTTTGCGCCATACTTATATTGACATAAGCAAAACCGAAAATGAAGTCACCGAATTTTCATTTAAAAATTTTATCAGGTGATGAACTTCTACTCAACTCGGTCCACTCCGAAATTTCACTCTTTACATGATTATCTCGACCATTTTTCCAAAAAACCTTGTGATTCATGCAGTAGCAAAACCACGTAAGATCAACTTTACCAGCGACTGGGCGAATATGCAAATAGACTGCAGAACACGTCGCATTTTGATCCAGGATTAAAACGAGGGAGTTAAACTTAATGCAAATATCGACTAAATAACTATCCCATGAAAAAGCCACCAACTGCAGGGTTGCCATTTATCCAATAGCCACGACCAAGCATAAATGGTCATAGGATACTCCGCGAAAAGTTTGTGAACACAAAATCTTTTTATACGTAGTGCCTACAGAAGTGAGAATTGTCGTGTTCGCTGTTGTTGCTGTAGTTGTTGCAATCGTGTAAGTAAATAAAAAATGAATAATGTAAATTGTGAAATAGTAATCGCTAGTAATCTTGGTACCAGTTAAGCAAAAAACTTTTGAAAAACCACATGAACGAAAGGTTGAACTAGATAGCCAGTTCGAAACAAGTATCTGGGATTTAGTCTGCATGAACATCAACGAAGCTCCTATTACGACGTCATGCACTTACACCCGTAGTTTCCTTCCTATCGATCGATCCTGAATGATCATCGTCCATTTCTCGATGAATTTCCGCAATAGCCTGATAGCCGGCGGCATCTCGAACTTTCTCCTCCTCAGCTGTTACTACGACATCTGAAACTGTTGGTTATCCTTAAAGAGGTCGATTCAAGTTATATATGAGCAATACTTTCAAAGATAAAAAGATTTCCGACCCTTTTCTAGCCCTACTTGACTACATAGAGAGACACTGCCACAATTCAATGCTCTCCTCCTCGATAGAGACACAAGTTTGGAGATTCGTTGCAGAAGTGAGGTCTTCCACGGTTTCAATTTGAAGACACGACAAATAAAAGTGACTCACTCCTTGTCGCTTTTCCACTTTTTGACGCCACAGTACTTTCTACAAGAAGGATTATAAACAACAAATACGACTGTCTGCCGCACCGTAACCTCCTCATTTCGATTTTATTGTGTAGTCACCTTTACCACCTCATCTGAAAATGTGTCTTTCATTTTCTAGCAAAAGGAAGACAACTTCCCAACTCAACGCCAAAATATCGACACAGGTGAGCGAAAACGAGCAAAAGATAACAGAACAATAGATGAAAGGATGCGGTACTAAAGCAGTGAAACACATCAATTGATAAGAGTCGCCAAGCAATCGGCGACTCAAACTTTGCATAAGATGTCATCTTGAACAACAACATTGATACTGCTGCTTCTCTACGCTATCCGAAAAAGCAAAGTAGCAGGAGATTCAGAAGAATGATAACGAGTTCGACCAAAGTCTCACTGAATATGACTGGAAGTACTGGCAGACGGCGCGTTTGTTTTCCAGTTCTCGACGTTGGAAATGTGTGGATTAGACCTTTTGAACGGCTCGCGGCGAATTTTTGGGAATTTCACGCAGAGTAAGTGCATTTCGACAGAAGAGGAGGCTCCACCAAATAAAAACTTGTTACTGACCCCATAATTTGCTCTCACTTCAGACCCTTGTCTTACTCATTAAGCCTTAATATAAAAGTGGAGTTAGAACTTCGCTCACCTACTGGTTAAACGGCTACGATGAAAGCACAAATCAGAGAAAAACAGTATCATGGGGAACTCTAGCGGTGCTGCACACAGCATTTGAAAAGGTTAAGCTGGTCATAGTTCGCGAAAAAGGACTCAATCGCGACTCCGGAGATTAGGATAGTACGCGACAATGAAAAACATATGTATTGACGGAGATTAGGATAGTAGTAGATTAGGATAGTAGTAGAGTAGGAGATTGCGCTGACAAGATTAGATACGTATCGATTGAAATCGCTGGAGAGTAGTAGATTGCGATATTACGATAGTAGGATAGTAGTAGAGTAGGAGATTAGGATAGTAGTAGATTAGGATAGTGCGCTGACAAGATTAGATATAGAATGATTGTTCATTCGCTTGAAGTCCCCAAATTATACTTTCCAGCATTCATCGATACGACTCTGATCTGTCGCAGCGCAATGTAACTATACTCCTATTCCTATCGTCCTACTATCCTAAATCTCCGAGTCGCAAATCACATGAACGGCTATAACAGCAATTCATCACTCAAAATAAGGCAAGTTGAATTTCTGTCAAAACTGAAAACTACACGTAGTATCGGAGATGTATTTATTATGAGGGTTAGTGCAGCTTAACAAGTCGATATTCCGTATGTGTGACGCTATTTATGCAAATTCACAGATACCAGCACAAACCCGGATGTCTCGTCGTTCTTAGTGCACCGTCCGTTGTATATTATCCAGTCCCTTATCACTGATTATTGGTCAGGTCCCTTGCTACGCCGGTAATATTGCTGTAATGGAATCAGTTGACTCGTATAACTTACACAATTTCCTTTGTTATCCGCTCAACACTGTGTGACGTAATTCATGGATCATTACACGTCCCTTATCCTCAAGTCATTGATTTCATTTGATTACTTGGTAAAAAAACTCGAAATCTAGAGTGAAACGGTTGAAGTTCCTCGAGCGTGTAGCAAAATTCCTATGGATCAAAAGACAAAGTTACGCTTAATTTGAAAATATTCAGCACAACTCTGGACCGACAAAATTTTGACGGCTTCTGCCTGATATTCTAACACACTTCTTTTCAAGTTTTAGGCTGGTAGCCCAGATGTGCTTTAAAGAAAATATGCATAAAATCAGCATATTGCCGAATGAGCTCACCAATTGTTTATGATCATTCAGGACTACAGCAAAGGCGGAAGTGTCATGCACTTCCTGCTGATACCCTGAAGTTCCTTTACGAGCTGATTATCGGCAAAGATTCATATCATAATCTTTACAAGTGCGTTATGAATACAAGAAATGCCATACCGTACTTGGAAAGTGTTGATTTTTTTCAGTTTGCCATCGCTTGAAATGAGCAGACGCTAGAAAAACTGCTCATGAGTTCCTGAGTCGACTAGCGTCTGAGGCAAAAACTATATTCTTCAAGATGAACGACCAGAAGTATTACGCAAGACCCCACTGAAGAATCTCAAGTCTACAAAATTGCAAATGGACAATCATGCAAACTATGTCAAACAATCAATTTCAAACCCATCGAAATACAAGAATCAGAAAAAAAAGTTACTGTAATAGTGAAAAAGTCATGAAAACTCTTTCACCTGATTTTCAACTAAAAGCCTGTCTTTGACAGACGACAGGAAGTAAACTTTCAGGGAACTCCCGCACCAATAATTGATAGCTACGTCAACATAACTTTCGCACAAAAAGTAACCACACAATGCTGGTTTTTGTACGGAAGTTATGAAATTCGCACTATTGATTAAATCGAGCGCCTCTAAGCCATTGCTTGTTCCGACTCAAAAAAAAACATTAAAATTTGTGAGAGTCAGTGGGATTAGCAAATATTCAAAACATGGCTGGTTTCACGCTGTTAAACATGTGTGACACATCGAAAGAGAAGTAAAATACAATTGACAAGCAGTTTTTCGGAGCAGTTATGGGGCGGTAGGCTGAGGGAATGTAGTCAGTCCATTTAGCTACAGTGTTCTTGACAGACCTTGGACCGAACCCTAGGGTGGGCAAGTTCACGCCAAGAAATAGTACACCCGTGATGCTCAACGAAGAAAAAGAACAAACGGGTAAAAAAAAGTAGGAAAGAACGGTCGGGCTCCATTGTGAGGTTGTTTGCAAACGAAACAATCAATATTTTTCTTCACTGCAATTTTTCGAAACGGTTTCTGATGCTAAAGTCGTCACAGGAAGATGAATTGTGAGCTGCTGAGACACTGCTTTTAGCCACCCAGGAGGCTTGAATCCCAGATCTCCTGCTTTCCGGGCAGTTCACTACTCAGCTTTCAAAGGCACACTCACCCTAGCTTATCGGATGTCACACGGACCAACATGAGATCATAGCCAATACCGAACGCGTGGTCCGAAAACATGAATATATCATTAAGTAGCTGTGACAAAGAAAATTTGCAAGTTATTCCGCTGTGGAATGATAGGGTGAGCCGCCTAGGCTGATGCCAGAGTCCGCGATCCGTCGCGCGATTCGCGGACTTTGACACCAACCTTAGTTAGCAATACCGTTTTTGCAGAATCGCTAACAACTCGAGCAGGTTCGCGATGACTAGCACAGTTCCCGTCGCTCTCGACATCGTGGAATTCGCGGAACGTGCGGAATCCGTTAACACGATAGATACTCATCGACTGTGCGGATCGCGCACTCGTCGATTTCTTAGCACTATCTCTACACTGAATGCGGAACCAACCGAATGGATACGCATATAACCCTAATCGCAGAGTCCGGACATTTCTCTAACTATGAACGCTGCCGCAGGGAATCTTGTGATACGGTGACATTACAAAGATCACCGTTTCCAAAGCCAAACTCATTGTCAGGCCTTGCAGCTTGGGCTGATCGAAGTATCGTCTTTTCCACAATGAG